TACAGTGAGGCACAGTCAACCAGTATTTGTCCAAATGAAGGGGCATTAAAGCATATTTTATTATATTTTTTTGTTACACATGACCAAGGCCTTCTTTTTTTAAGCCCCTGGTAGTTTCTGAGGGAAGGCAAGAGGGTGGTGAAGCATGTCACAGGTTTCAGATTATCTACTGCCATGAACTCACCACATCTCCATCTACTCTCCTGCCTGCATTGCTAGCTCTCTTCAATTTTATACAATTTTTAGAAAATATAAGTGAGCTGGCATAAAATAACCATTAATATCATTGCATCATCATGGAAACTCAGGAAGACAACACTTTATTGCTAATGTTCACATGATTGTGAACCCATAATTGATGCTTTCAGTCATGCTGGGAAAAGGGAAAATTTGAGGCAAAATGCTATTAAAGGACATTTATGTTGTTCACCTTTTCAGCAACACATTTATGTTGTTCACCTTTTCTTATCACTCAGATCTGGCACTGGGAAGACAATACAAGATCAGAGCTAACTGAAGCTTCTAAATTTAGACAGAAAGTTAGCACCATGTAGTTGTCTGTACTCACACTAGCCACACTCCATGGGTTTCCTAAAGCAGAATGCACTCCATCAGCAAACAGAACATCTGCTAATTCACATCCTTAGAAAGGAAAGCAGTGAATCATTTCTAATGATTCAGTTGGTCAACTCATAGTATCTAATTAATTCTGATTGGAAAGTTGCAAAAAAATATCTAAAACAATTTCAAATATTTATTTCAGATTTATTATTAAATAAACTCATATGAATGAGGAATTGATCTTGTAAAATCACTGGCCTATGACTGCGGTCCAGTCAACAAGTGACATCCCTATGAAACCACATCACTTTCCTGGCCCTTGCTGTATGGGTTCCTTTTACTAAACATTTATCAAACCACACACATGACCTTGGTAGATGCTCAGCTCTCCACATGCACCACCACTATCAAAGGGACAAACCCTGAAGGGGAGAACACAGAAGGCAGAACTGATCTCTGGGGGCTCTTGATTTTTGTGGGGACAATCCAGGCCAGACTGAAGACTAGGTCTCAGCAGGGCTACAGACCAGAGCACAGAGCTAGAAGGAAGAGGCTGACTGCCTTTTAACACAGCAGTGCTGGAACCAGCCAGATGCCCACCAGAGGCTTTGTCTGTGCCAAGCAGAGCCTGAGCCACACCAGGAAGATGGTGTCAGGCTGCAGCAAGCACAGGGAGAAGAAGGAAAACTACTGCCACAGTAGTAAGTTGTGTTAACAAGTCCAAGTAAAAAAGTCTGCTTGTATCTAAATTCAAGCATTCTGATGATGCAAAATTAAACATTTTGCTTCTTCCTACTGACAGGGAGCAGCAAACAAGATAGAATACAGCCTAACATACATTTTAGCATGCTTTATGTAAATTTGAACAGGGACCATCCTCTGTGAATGGTTTGATAAAGACACAACCCTCAATCTAGCACAGAAACCCTCAAGTTTTATTTTCTGCTATATTGACCTCAGCTACAAATTTCCCAGTAAAAATAAAATAGGTGGTTTAAGTCACATTACAAGAAATCACAAAAGTCTCTAAAGTGATGCTGATTTTCAGGCACTTCTGATTTTCTATCAGCCACTTTTTCCCTTTTCATGCCAGCTACATAGTTAATGTTGGAGCTTTATTACAGAAAAATGACATTTTAAAATCACAATTAGGTTTTCTTGCTACATCATTTTCTCTGCATTGCTACACCAAAGGATCTTTTTTTTACTTTCTCTTCTATTTCTCTTCTATCACTGTAATTTCACTAGTTTGCATAGTGATACATATATACAATAGCAGCAGCACAAGAAGAGATGGAGATTCACAGCAATCCAAGTCACAATGTTATTTCAGAGATAGTTGCTCTCCTTTCCTCACTTCCTCAGACACCAACTATCTGAAATTTCTTGCAAAATTATGTGTGTTGCTTTAGCATGATGACAGGAACAATGGATATCTGTGCATTTCCCAATAATGCCGCTCTCTACTTAGATGTTCTCTGCTAGCTGAAAAATGAAGGACCACAGCTTGCATTAGAATCAAAAGGAGGAAGAGCAGAAGTCAAGTCTTAGCAAAGTCACTGTCCTCCTAAGCCGAGTCAAAAAGATATTTTCTGCCATTCCAATTACTCAGTTAATCCCAGTGAGTTTTTCCTGGAACAGATATCTGTGTCACCATTACTCAATAAACACAAGGTTATTAAGATATTTCCTAAACAAATCTCTTCATAAAAGCACAACTTGAAATAAATGCCCATTGGATGCACTGCTCTACCAGAGCTCCCTCACCAGGACATTTGCCACTATCCTGAGTGTGCCTCTCCATAGACTTAAGTCCAGAGCAATCTCTAGATAACTGTTCCTGCATTTGGTGGCAAATGAAGACATCATTTCTTTCAGTGCAGAGCGAAAATGCTTGATGTTTCTTTACAGAACAAAAGTGTAAACTTTAAATGACTGCAGTTCTTCACTGAGCACAAGTTTTGCTTTCACAGGGAGGAAAATTTTTTTTCCCCTAATCTACAATAGTTAATTGTAATCCTGAAATAACAAAAAGAAGTACATAGCTTAAAAAGAGGACCTTTTTTGCTTCCTTGGATTTTTGCTCCAAGATCTCATTTAGTGGACAAAATGCAAAAATTTATCCTCCCAAATTTCTCTGAGCCTTTTCCTTCCAAATTTCCCCTAGTCTCACTAGGTTGCAGTAACAATCAGGTTTATCATTTCACAGGGACATTTGTTACACCAGTATTCTCCTTCTTACCACATCACATTCTCACTGAGGAGAAACACAGACCCCTTAGGACCACTTCAACTACTCTTCCCACAGATTTCTAACCTTTTTGATACTCTGATTTCACAATTTAAGTCTTCAGGAGTACACAACATTCAAGCAAACAGAAACCATAGCTTAATACACATTTAGAACTAAATGAAACAACAGATCTTTTGTGAGACATACAGATACATTATGTCCTGATTTTCTAACCTTTTCTGCATGTTTTGCATGGTTTAAATAAAGTCCTTTCAAATTCTATCCAAGAACCCCATACTCTGCACATCTTCCTTTTCAGTCATGAAGTTTGTGGGTTTAGGTCTATTCGTTCTGGGACTTCAGCTTCCCTCTCCTTCAGCTGTTCCTGTAGACACCAACTTTGCTCTCACTAGTAGTCATTATTTTCACTATTCCCCTGAACAACCTGAACCAGTTTCACTATGTGGTTTTTCATACTGCAATTTTCTTTTTTAGGTACCTGACCCCATCTTTGCAGCAGGATAGTAACCATCTGTGTGTGCAGTGGGGCTCCACTAGAACGTATGAATTTGCGCATCTGATAAGCCCTGGCAGGACCTAGTAACATGTATTTTCAAAACTAGTGAAGTTATTATGTGTTTTCACATATAATAGAGTTCACATGCTGACGCCAAGACACCTCTTGGCCAAATCAAGTACAATTGCACCAAGCCAGGAGTGGATTTCTAGTATGTCAAGATTACACCCTGGTCTAAGTTCATGTCCTATGTATGTTTTATGTAGATACAGGTGGCAGGACACATGTCCTTCCAGGAGTTTCCTTTGAGCCAGGGGTCCTGCTGGAGTGCAGACCCTCGGCAGGGATGCCATACAACCCCCCAGCCCCCAAGAGGATTCCATTTGGCACAGGTGCTTGAGACCTATGTTCGGGAGGCACTCAGTGGGGACCAGCTAAGTGAACTGGCAGGCTGGCAACTGTAACACCACCTGTCTGAGTAGGAGAGCCACTGATGGGCAGCAGCCTGCCTCAGTATGCCACATACACCCACCCTGAAAAAGCATTGTGGATGCGTGTCTGCATCCTCCGGGCTTTGCAATGCTGTCATTTAACTCGTACCTTTCTTTTTGTGTTTCCCCGTTTTGGTCCCAGAAAGCGCTCCCCTATGCCTTACTAGCCTTTTTTTCTCCCCTTCTCCCCATGTTTCTGACCTAGAGGGTGATTCTCACCCTGTGCCCGGTTCCACGGCCCCTGCTCTCCGTGCGCGGCTCCCGGGCTGTCCAGCACCGCCGCCTCTCGTCCGCGGCCTCTCCGGCGCGGGGCTTGCCAACACCTCCATCTCCCGGACACAGCGCACTCTGCACCGAGCTACACGCCTTTTCACCCCTCCCCTGCTTACAAACCTTGTCGACATGGTGTGGGGGATCCATGGGCTTCAAGGTTTCCAAGTTGTTAAATGAGGGTTTTTTTGACAGGAGACAAGACCTGTGGATTAAACTTTGAAGGGGTCCGCACATGACAGCTGGAAAAGAGAGACGGCATTTTAATAGTTTTATGCTTGCCATGCTGAGGTCTTCACCTGTACTGGGAATAATTTGAAAATCTGTAAATAAATTTTTAAAACCTTTGATTTTTGACCAGTGAATTCTGAAAATTTCATTTGCCAGCAGTCATACCCCCCTGTTCTCCTGTATCTCCATCCTTTCCTACTTAAAATCTATCCAAGTCTTTTTCAAAGAAATCTAATATGCAGCTGACCATTGCTGAGCTAATTCAATCCATCAGTACATTCTTGATTTTTTTTTTTCTGCCTCAGTGCTGAACTGTGTACCAAAATCATGTGTTGGGAACCAAAACCGAGAGGACTTGCTACACGGCTGGAACAGAGCAGTTAGCTCAAACATAGACATTTCCCATCTTCCGCCTCAATTTTCCCATCTGTTTCAACTGGACATTTGAAGCGTTTGACAGGGAAAATGTCTCCTGACGCTTGATACTAGCGCAGAGCTCAGCGCCATAATAACACAAACCGATTTACGTTAAAAAAGGAAAAAAAAAAAAAAATCCTCTATCACCGCCCCGCGCCCCGCCCCGAGGGGAGGGAGCCGCTCCCCTCACGGCCCCGGCCCCGCCCCGCGGCGCCTGCGCACCGCGCGCGCACGCGCGCTAGCGGGAGCTCTACCTCCCGTATTTCCCGTTCCCCGTCCCCGGCTCCCGTCCCGCTCCCCCGGTTCCCGCCTCGCCGCACTGCCCGCGGGCGATGCGGCGCTCCCGGCGCAGGGCAGGCGGGCCGCGCCTCAGCTACTCCTGAGCGCTCGCAGCCGTTGCCTGCAGGAGCTGCCTCCCTCCGTCCCGCCATGGAGCAGCCGTACGGCGGGCAGGCCCTGGCCGGCGGCGGCGCGCTGGGGCCTGTGGATGTGCCCAGCGCCCGGTAACGGCGGCGGGGGGGAGCGGCCGCTCTGCTGACTCCAGCGGGCGGCCCGTCGCCGTCCCTTCTTCAGGGGGGCAGCGGGCATCGCCCCCCGCCCTGTCGGGGGCGGGGAGCCGGCGGCCTTCGCTGAGGCGTCGGGGCCGGCCCGGGCCCGGGCGGCGGCGTGGCAGGTGCGAACCGGCCTCTCTCCTTCCACAGGCTGACTCGGTACATCGTGCTGCTGTGCTTCGCCAAGGTTTTGAAAGCCGTGGGGCTGTTTGAATCCTATGATCTTCTGAAAGTGGTCCACCTCGTGCAGTTTATCTTCGTAGTGCAGCTGGGGTGAGTGTGCAGAGGGTGGAGCCTTGTGCCCCACGCGTAATACTTTGGGTGTTCTTTGACAGAGTCAAGGTTATAACCCTGCATTATGTTGTTATCATTTACTCGAAGAGGAGAAGGCATAATAATGAGTCCAGGAAGTTCTCTGTTCATAGCAGTGTTTTTGCTTCACATTTCTGTTCACTGTAATTTCAGTGTCTTGCAATGTCTCAAGTTGGAAATGACCCATAAGGTCCATTGAGTCCAACTCTCTGCTCCTCACACAACCACCTGAAACTGAAACATATGATCAAGAGTGTTCTCCTGATACTCCTTGAGCTCTGACAGGTTTGGAGCTGTGACACTGCTGGGGAGCCAGTTACAGTGGCTAGCCACCCTCTTAGTGAAGAACCTTTCCATAACGTACAGTATGAATTTACCCTGATACAGTGTCATTCTCTCTCATGCCCTGTCACTGGTCACTGGAGATCAACATCACTGTCCCTCCACTGAAGAAGGTCTCATGAGGTCACCCTTCAGCCTTCTCTAAGCTGAGCAAACCAAGCAACCTCAGATACTCCTCTTGCTCTTGAGACCTTACACCATCTTGGCTGCCTCCCTTAGATGCACTCTAACACTTTGATGTCCTTCTGATACAGAGGCACCCAAAACTGCACACAGGACCTGGCTGGGGCCCCATCAGTGCATTGCAGAGCAGGACAATCACCTTCCTTGAGCAGCTGATGATGCTGTGCTCGAATGCAAATGCACCCCAGCATACAGCTGACCCTTTTTGTTGTCCCATATTCAATTTTCCATCAACCCAGACCTCCAGATTTCTTTTTGTGGGGCTGCCATCCATCCTTTTGTTCCCTGCTTTGTGCATACAAGCAGGGTTACCCTGCCGCAGATGGAGAATGAGCACTCGTTCTTTCCATATCATTGACAGTTGTCCAGCTTTCTAGTCTTTCCACATGTCTCTGTAAGGCCTCTCTGCCCTCAAGAAACTTCGGTGTTTTTCCAGCTTCAAAGTTGGGCCTGTTCTGACAGTGCTGTTGGTGATGGTGTGACTGTTGCTCCATCTGGCAATCCACCATCACACAAATGTGCTCTCACCTTCCCCCATCCCAGGGGGCTGGGGAGGAGAATGAGGAAGAAAACAAAAAGTAAAACTTGCAAGTTGCAATAAGGAGAGTTTAATAATTGAAATTAATAAGCTAATAAATTATTAATAAGTTAATAAGCAAAATATAGTAATAAAAGGAAATTATGCACAGTGCATCTGCTCAACACACAATGATGATACCTGGCCCAACCCCAAACCACAATCAGACCCCATGTGCGTAGTTCCCCCAGTTTTTGTACTGAGTAAATGGTATTTATGGTATGGAACATCCCTTTGGCCTGTTCGGGCCAGGTCTCCTGGTCATGGTGCCTCCCAGCTTGCTGCACCTGCTTGCTGCCAGAGCATGGGAAACCGAAAAGTCCTTACCTTTGGATAAACATCACTAAGGAGCAGCCGAAACTGTGTTATCAACATTGTTCTCACACTGAATCCAAAACAGCACTGCACTAGCAGTAGCACTGGAGTAGCAGCTACTGAGAAAAGTTTATCTCAGTCCAAGCTGAAACAGGACACTCAGGCATGTCCAAATTTTGTTAACAAGAGTGTGGAAGGTCAGCTTTCTTCCTTATAGTTTGTATTCCTGAAGTAGTTGTGGGATTCAGCTGCTGTTTTTCCTAGATTGAGGGGTGAGGTGTGAAAACTGATAGCAAATACACCAAAACAATCTTTGCAGACAAAATCCTGTTTTCATGTTTACCTGATGAGATATGGAAGATCATTTATGTAATAAACTTGACAGAGTTGGAACATTTGGAATTTCATTTTTTCTTTTTATGTCATATTGAAGTATATTTATGGACTTCTTTCTTGCATGTTCCCAAGCAACATAGTTTTTTTTGCCCATCACTTTTGATCCCACTTGAAGAAGTTGTGTGCTGTATCTTTTATTCCTACAGGATTGTGTATTCAGCATTCTGTATATGAGTAAGCCTTTTTGTACACCTATCTTGCTAATAAAAATCAGAGTATTATTTCTCTTCAAAACTTCTGAGATCAGTTATTTTGTAAATCACAAGTCAACGTATCATTAGCCATTCTCTCAAGAACTTGCACTTGACGTTGACCAGAACTGAAGTTCACTTGTCATCACTGTAGTACTGGTAACTGATGATGGTAATGCAGCAGGGAAAATAAAACCAGTGACTGTTGTCAATGTGGCCTGTTGATGGATAAAATGTAGAGGAAGCCATTTTGTAAACTGAGCCAGATATGAGAAACCTAGTTGTTTAGATCTGGTTGTTTAGACCTAGTTGTTTAGATAGAAAGCTGACTGCTAATAAACTAATAGACGAAACTTTCTCCTTTTGACAGGTCTGCTTTTTTTATGGTTTTGTTTCAAAAGCCATTTTCATCTGGAAAAGTGGTAACGAAGCGTCAGGTGAGTTGACATATGTAGGAATGCATCTTTGTAGATATTCTTGGCAGTATGGCTCTTGCCAAAACTGAAAAGTGAACAATGATTACTCCACTTAGAAGATGTGGTTACGGGTTCTAGAGGTATACTACTAACTCTGTCTTGTGGGCTGAAACATTAATTCTTCTTAGCTTTTGTCAGCTGCTTTTTGAGAGTATAGTGAAAAGGCTGGTCCTTATCGCCAAGCCAGCATCAGCTGTAGGGAGTGGATTTTCAAACAGAGAGCTCAGTCTGCTTAGCCGACCTGGACAGTTAGGCAGGCAATTTCTGGACTGCCGGGATGTCAAAACACTCCAGTCTTGTCATTCAGAACAGAAGAGTCCCATCTGCATGTGACAACGGCCTAATCTAGCTGCTCATCAGACCTTGGTGAGTTTGCTGTATCCCAAGGAGTTTAGAGTAGAGCCAGGTTGGAACGTGCTGATTTGTAAGAAATAAATTTTCTTCACCTCCTTCATATGCATCTTGGATTTATGTAATGGTGTGCACAAAACCTTGATCTAGTGTGTGCAGTAAGTAGACAGAATCTGAAGGATAGATACCCTCAAAGTGTTCCTTGTGTCAACTGCTTTCATGACTAGATGCATATAGCAGAATTTTAAAAATGTAAACAGGAATAAATGGCATCTTTGATTTGGGTTCAGAAAAATCTGTCCATATATGGTTTTACTTTTGCTAAAAATTTTCAAATTTTGGATTTTGAAGATGGTATATTTGTTGTAGGTGCTTCACCTTGTTTAGCATATTTCCAGAATTAATTTCTTCTAAAACTTGCATCTGAAGTTAATAAAGTATTGAATATCTGAATTACAGCCTAATTCCCGAAGAAAGAATATAACACATGCATAAATATTTGTAGGCATAAGGTCTTAGCCTCAATTTGTACATTTTATCTAGTTCTTATTCTGTTTATCTTTTTCTGATATATACAATAGATTACAAAACAGGTAAATGGACTTGATTTTTTTTTAACTAATTTCCAGACTTTTTTGTTGAAGAGAACTCAGACAATGTTACAGAATTTAAGACTGTGGTATAAAAAATTCTGGTTCATAGATGTCTACATAAATCTTAGTTGCCTGGCAAAGTATCCAAGAAAATAATCATACTTTAATTATAAGTATGGAACTTACAAAGCACGTGTTTTCCCCTCAATTTCTACAGCTATTGTGCTAAAACAGTCCTAGTAATAGAGTGTTCATTTTGAAACTCTGGAGAAAATTATAATGAAATACCTTTCTTTTGCAGTGGATCAAAATTTTTAAGCATGCCGTTGTTGGATGTATCATTTCACTCTTATGGTTTTTTGGCCTTACTCTATGTGGACCACTGAGGTAAATACAAATCTACTGTAAATACTGGTTCTCTTTTATGATCCTTCCCTGTCTTGCTCCTTTGGGTTTTTTTTCTGTCTGTCAGACATTGCTGCTAGCCATTTGATGTATATACAAAAACTTACTGAATCTTTATGAATTTTCATGTGAAATCTTTAGTGGTTGGGAAAAAGTACATATAATTTCTGTAGAACTGGTAAATTTCTTCTACCAGAAGAACTACTTCTTTTATGAGATGCCAGTGAAATTCTTGATAGTGCTTAAACACTTGATGTGAGTGATACATCAAGGTGACTTAGTGCAGTTTTTGTCACTTCCCTGCTTTCATTAATGTAATGCCAACTGTTTATTTACCTGTTTGGAGTCCATGGTTTGATGGCTAATGGTAGCAGCTGGTATTCTTTGACAGGTGACTGGAATCAATTTCTGCACTTGTTGCAGAGTACTTCTTTATCTGGTTGGCTGTGTGCTCTGTGCTGAAATTGGGTAACCATTTGTGCTGTGTGTTAGCACTACTGATTGAGTAACTGTGAAAGAGTAGTTAGACTTTCAAAATTAAGGTCAATATATTGGAAAGCATCTTTCAATCTAGAGAAGAAAGTAAAGCCTTAAATGATATGTTTTATGAAGGTGAATTTTTATCATCTACATAGGAGAAGGCATACCTAAGAGTAATAATACTGTGATTAATTATATTAATGTAGTTAATACTCTTATGTCTTTCTGGGTGCTGGCAGTCTTCCCAAACCAAACCAGTTACATGGGTCATGTAGAGAGGTTTGCAAAAGCATTTGATAAACTTGAGGGCAAGAATTACTTTCATGTTCTGCTCAGGAAAGCTGTCAGTACAGCTTGGTAGTTAACCTTTGCTGTCTGAAGGAGGTAGCATGGAAGCTAGAATGTTTTATTTTTGGCAATTAAGAGGTTTTGAGGTGGCATAAGCTACTAGGTCATCAGCACCTCAATGAACAGGACACAGTAGTACAGAACAGGACATCTTTTTTTCTCTGGGAGCAGAAACTGGTTTAGAGGAGGTATTATAGTGGGAATAAGAACTCCATCTTGAACAAGTTGGTATCTTGTTGTGTTGCTAGAAGAAAATACTATTTAAAGTTATCCATAAATGAATAATTTAAATCTATTACTTGAATTAGGAAGTTCCTGTTTTGTAACATGTATAGTTGTCTGCAGCTAGATCTATTGCTGGTGAAGGCAAATTGATTTGTGTTTTTTCTTTTGCATTTTTAAACCTGCTGTTGTAATCATAGGATAGATCTTTGTTGTGTCACTTATTTTAGCTGAAATAGTTTATATCAAGGTTTTGAAGTAAATTAATTGTAAATAGAGTATTTATTTCTCTTTTTTTATAGAACATTATTACTGTTTGAACACAGTGATGTGGTTGTGCTGTCACTCCTTAGTGTCTTGTTCACAAGCTCAGGTGGAGGACCAGCAAAGGTATTTAAAAATCTCTTTTACCAAATGAAAAACATACTAAGTCCTATAAATTCAAGTACTTCTTTACCTGGAACAAACTGTGTTTTGGATCCATGTTCATAGAAAATGCAATTTTTTTTTTTTTTTTAAATTATGGTGAAATAGTAAGATGTACTACTCGCAGTGGTTTAAGTCTGGGTGGTGAAAGCTCTGGAAGCTGGGATTTCATAGCTACCTCTATCCTTTCCCAACAAAAGAACTTCAGAGCTATTCTTTCTCATAGTCTTTGCATATTTCTTTAGCCTTTAGGTCCTGTAAGACAAAATCCAACAGTTTGTACAGATCTTGTTTGTAGCTCATTGATGCTATGAAATATTAAATCATCAGGCTGAAGTAGCAGTGCATTCTGGCAGGCAGAAAGACACCATGAAGAAAGTAATCACACTTAAAGTTCATAAGACACTGGCATCTAGCTTGCTGCAATGGTGATGTGTCCTGAGTTGTCTGGTAAGTCTTAAAAACAGAAAAAATGTGAAATTATATTGTCAAGGTCACTTAAAAACAATAGGAGTTTCTTTAATGGTTTTCTTACTGGAGTATGCTTACATTGATCAGGAAGCAGGGAAGGAGAGGACCGATTTCTTAGATTTTTTTACAGTAATCTGTTGTACCAGTTTAGAAATACTTGGGGTTTTTTGTTGTTTGGTTGTTTATTATTTGTTTGTTTGGGTTTATTTTACAGACAAGAGGTGCTGCATTTTTCATCATAGCTATCATCTGCTTACTACTTTTTGATAATGATGACCTCATGGCTAAAATAGCAGAACATCGTATCCTTTTTTATGTGAAAGTGCAAGTGACTCTTAGTACTGGAGCAGAAAAACGTGAAATTGAGTGTACTGAATTAAATTATAATTAGAAGTGATTTTGAAGTTAGTTTTCAATTGATCATCTCCTCATAGTGTACTGACAAAAAGTAGTACGTCTACAGATGGGCAGTAAAAACAAACAAGGTGAAAGTAAACTTTCCAAAGGAAGAATAAAAACATGGAATTACGCAAATGGTGTATTCTGGAACCTTACTGATGAATTTACTTAAGTTTTCTGTGAGTAGAATCACAAAATAGAGTGAGTCATGGAATGGCCTGAGTTTGAAGGCACCTTAAGATGGTCAAGTCCAGCTGTTCACCCAGCACTATCAAGCCTGTCACTAAATCATATCCCTAAGGGCTACATCCATGTATTTTAAAAGCCAGCAAGATGTTCATTCAGCCACTTCCTTGGGCAGCCTGTTTCAATGCTTGATAATTCTGCCTGAAGAAATTCTTCCTAACACTCAATCTACTCAATACTAATATTAATACCTGATGCAACTTAAGGCTATTTCTTCTTGTCCTGTCAGAAAAAACTGACCCTCACCTGGGTTCAACATGCTGTCAGGTAGTTGTAGAGTGTGGTAAGATCTGCCCTGAGCTGCCTTCTTTTCTCCAGACTAAACAAGCCCACCTCCATCAGCTGCTCCTTGTAAGTGCTCCCCAGCTCTGCTGCCCTTCTCTGAACACACCTCAGCATCACAGTGTCTTCTTGTACTTAGGGGCCCAAAACTAAACACACGATTTGAGGTGTGGCCTCACCCGTGTCCAGTACAGGGAGACAATAACTGCCCTGCTCCTGCTGGCCACACTGGGCATGCCCTGGCTCATGTTCAGCCACTCCCAGGTCCTTTTCCACTGGGCAGCTTTCTAGCCACTCTGCCCCAGCCTGTGGAGCTGCTTGGGGTTGTTGTGACCCAAGGGCAAGACCCAGCACTGGGCCTTGTTGAACCTCACACCACTGGCCTCAGCCATGATCAGCCTGCCCAGATCCCTCTGCAGAGCCTTCCTGCCCTCCAGCAGATCAGCACTCCCACCCAGCTTGGTGTCACCTGCAAACTGATTGAGGGTGCCCTCCATGAGATCATTGGTGAAGGTATTAAACAGGACTGGCCCCAGTACTGAGCCCTGGGGAACAGCACTGGTGACTGAACACCAGCTGGATGTAACTCCACTCACCACCACTCTCTGGGCCTGGCCATCCAGGCAGTTATTCATTCAGTGAACAGTGTAACTGCCTAAGCCAGGAGCAACTGGTTTCTCTGGAATGATCATGTGGGAAATGGTGTCCAAGGCATCCATGCGTCCACAGCTTTTCCTTCATTTACTAGGCAGGTCACTTCATCATAGCAGATCAGGCTGATCAGTCAGAACCTGCCTTTCACAAACCCATGCTGACTGCTGGGCCCGATCTCTGGTTGTCCTGCACATGCTAACACAGCATAAAGCTCAGTTTGCTTACCTCTGCTTTCTGTGTTCTGCTACCTTTGCCTGTTCTTGCTTAAAAAAAAAAAAAAAAAGAAAATCTAAAGAAATTCTTCCTTAATTTTTTATTTAGCTGAGGGGCATCATGACAGTGCTCTTACTCATGTTCTGTATACAATCATTGCTTTCCTGGGTGTTGCAGATCACAAGGTAAATAACATGTATTTTAGAATCTTTATTTAAGTTTTGAAGATAAGAATTTCATCAGCTCTGAGCTAATCCAAGCCTGAATCAAAACCAAAAGGTTGGACATCCCTACCCCATATTGGAACTGAACAAGCACTGTAATTTTTGCACACTGATTGGAGTATAAGGAGCTTCAATACAGCAAGCCAAACCATACAATATTCAACCTTTATAGTTGATAAGGACTTTGCTGTAATGCATAGCCTAACAAGCCTCATTAAAATTATCATGAAATATTCTGTCATCAGTGTTCTTGGTGTTTAGAATGCTTTGCCTACAAACCACTTCTTACTCACTTTTGGTACCTGTGTTTTGTTTCTGCATCTTTAGCTTTCCCCAGTCTTTCCTTTACATTATACTTGTATTTGAAGACACAGATTCTGATACTTCTCAGTAAGATAATCCCATTGTATTTGGTGGTATGAATAGCTGAATATCATTATCTGACTGTACAGAGTTGAATTGCCTGATTGAGTTGTGTTACCTTAGTCTTGCTAAAGTGGCTTAATTGAGGACTAAAACAGGAAAAAAAATGGAGCAGCTGAAAATGTATTAATGTAAAAATAAATCAAATATTAGAAAGACTGGTTAATGGTGCAGAAAAGCAAGTGTGATCTAAGGGAGATGAGATGCTGTGTGTCTTGTAATACATCTAAAGAAAAATTTTGAAAGAGTATATTGTGAACAAATAAGGTGTGTTCAAAGGTAAGTGGATGAAAAGGCTATGAAGGTTCTAGATGACAAGATGATATGAATCTTTGGGGGTTTATATATGCTTTCAACACGCTTTTTATAATGGAAGATGGGAAAATCTTGGGTGATTTTTCTTCTTCCTCAGATGCTGTTTGCTACCATCTTGCTGCTGGCATATGCCAATTCACACTATTGAGAGTTTTAAAATTCAACTCAGGCTGTTGTGAAGAGTGCTAAGGCACAACTCTGTGTGCTATATTGCTGTTTGTAGCTAGAATAAAATTACAGGAAATATCCTAGTTTTGGCTTTTGTTTCCAGTTAAGGAAAACACATTAATATTTCCTCCTTGTAAGTGTCACTGTATTTGGAGTAAGTTTTTTAGTACTTAAGAAATGCTAATGGAATCTTGTTATGTTTCCAGGGTGGAGTATTGCTTCTGGTACTGGCATTGTGCTGCAAGGTTGGTTTTCATATGGCATCCCGAAAACTATCTGTAGATGTAGGTGGAGCCAAGCGTCTTCAAGCTTTGTCCCACCTTGTTTCCGTCCTTCTGTTGTGCCCATGGGTTATTGTTCTCTCTCTGACAACAGAGGTAAGATAATAAGTACAAAAGTAAATAATTTTTTGTAATGATTGTGAATTGTAATTTAAATCTTTCCTTTAAAATATCTTTGAAATTACCGATGTTGCTGTCTTTATTTTTGTAGTAAGCTTTGTTTGAAAATTTTCCATTATGCTTTTCTTCTATATTTGTTTTTTATCTGTGTGATACTTTAATTTCCTTGTTTGTATGATAAATGTGTTTTATCCTTCTAGCTCAGATACTATATCTTGGGTTCATCTACTAACATTGCACAAGCGTTAATGACTTTATAAATACAGTGCTCTTTTATCCCTAAGAAGTAGATAATTTATTATCATTTTAAAAAATGCTCTTTATGCTTGCGTGCATAGGGAGAGTAGGCCATTGCAACCATGGCATTGTATATGGAATTCCTTTTACGAACAGAAAAGTATTTAAAATAAAGTGCTTCAGTGCATTTTAGATATATGTCTCTTTTTATATCTGGAATTATATGTTTATGTGATAAATTGAAAATATAAAAGTATTTATGTTTTATGGATTAGTGAAAACACTTGTAATTCAAGTGAACTACATTTAATGCTATAAATACAGTCATTCTTCTGGTGGGCAGTCCTGTTTGAAATTTTTTTTTTTGTTGCAGAGTAAAGTAGAGTCTTGGTCATCTCTCATCATGCCTTTCATAACAGTCATCTTCTTTGTTGTGATCCTGGATTTCTACGTGGAGTCCATATGCTCTGTGAAGATGGAAGCTTCCACATGTGCTCGATATGGATCCTTTCTTATTTTCATTAGTGCTCTGCTTTTTGGAAACTTTTGGACACATCCAATAACAGACCAGCTTCGAGCTATGAACAAGCCACCACACCATGAAAGCACAGAGCATGTTCTTTCTGGAGGGGTGGTAGTGAGTGCTGTCTTCTTTGTTTTATGTACGTATTCTTGTCTAAACTATAGTAAATCTATGGTCTGTGTGACTGGGAAGCCAATCAGAAAATTGAGGTGTGCGGAATTCTTTTGGACGAGCTTTTATGGATTCTTTGGCATAAGGCAGCCTGTAGCTTTTCGCTCTTCTATTGTTTGTCTACAAAAAAAAAAAATTAATGTGATCTGTTGTGGAAGCAATGATCTAATTTTACATAGCACTGAAATCCAATAATAAACCCCAAGATGTAGTTGGCAATCAATTTGCTGCCAGAAAATTTCATGTAAACTTTGATTGCTGATTAAACACATTATAAAATAGCTGTGAAGCTTAGAAACAGCAACAAAAACTTCAATACTTTCCTTGCAGCTGCCAATATCCTGTCCTCCCCCTCCAGGAAAGGGCAGAAGGGTACCCTTATTGGCTATTCCCCTGAAGGCACTCCTCTCTATAACTTCATGGGTGATGCATTACAGCAAAGCTCCCAGTCATTGCCCCGGTTCATTAAGGAGTCACTGAAACAAATCCTTGAGGAGTATGATTCTCGGCAGATCTTCTATTTCTTGTGCCTAAATCTGGTGAGTGCATGGTTTTTTTCTTTGAACCCAATCACAATAGTGCATATATAATGAAAAAAGAAGAGTTATTCTTTAGAAGATTCCCATAATTGATTTGTTTGAAAGTGGCCTTTGACAGGGCAATTTAAGTAGTGGTACTAATTTGTTGTCACAGTGCAGCACTGGTTCTGTGTGTAAGGGTTATACCAGTAACTGAGTACTTGTATGATGGTATGTTGAAGGTTGAGATACATCAATGTTGCCAGCAGGTGAAACTGATAAGACCTCAGTGAAAGTGATAAGGATGAGGACAACAAAGTAGAAGTTATGGGATTGATTAGTGTCATATTGGAGCAGGCTAGTTTTATTTTTAGCTTCTCTCTTTCTTGAATAGGAAAAGATGATGCGGTAAGCAAAACTGGTAGAACCTCATTTGCAAAGATCTGGAAAATAAGGGGAGAAACTTGAAGTATCTGTGTTAACTGTAAGGAATTCCATTATGGAATATGAAAGATCGGAAAAAAGTTTTTGAGCAGATGGATTAATAATAGTAAAATGTACAGGGTAAATGTATGTATTAAAAATGTTTCCTTGTGTACCTTTCTCAGAGCCAATTCCTAAGATTTAAACAGTCAATAGTGAAGAAAATGTTGGCATTAACAGATTTATAGACCACATTACTTTTACACTAATAATGTATCAGATCAGAGCCCTTGCATTTTTAATGATAAAATGCTTAGAATTTGTCTGCAGAATGTCAGTTCAAAATTGGAAAAAAAAATTTACTCCCGTAAAGAGTTGGTTTTTATGTGTGAGTCTGTAAGGAGAGTGAGTTAAAAAATGTCTTTATAGACTTGGAGTGCATCATGTATTTCATTGGAGGAGAGGAATAATGGTCTAGAAATACTTAGAACAGTACCTTGAAAAATATTGAGTGTTCTATGAAAAGAATATCCTGCTATCTACCAAAACATTAATACACAAGTTAATATTTAAGGAAAAACTTAAACTCTGTTTTGTTTTAGGCTTTCACTTTTGTGGAGCTTTTTTATGGAGTATGGACCAATAGCCTTGGTCTTATTTCTGATGGATTTCACATGCTTTTTGATTGTTCTGCGTTAGTGATGGGGCTTTTTGCAGCTCTGATGACAAGGTGGAAAGCAACTCGCATATTTTCATATGGGTATGTATCTTGGGTTCTTTAAGGACTATTTGAAACTTAACTCTCCTTGCTCATTTTCAAAATGTCTTGGTATGTATGGGATATTTTAGTAATGCATGCTTCTGTGTGTTTTTTGCTGTGTCTCTTCTCTTCCATTTGTACTCATGCTATTCTCTTCTTACCTGTTAAAAAAATGTGTCTGAAATGTAACTTTCATTTATCTCTACAAGTAAAACTTTTATCACTGAATATTCTTTAGAAATTGCCTCATGCTAGGCATTTATATCAAACAGAAATCTATGTCAAAAACCAGTGTTCATATGAAGATTTAGATTCAGCTGAAATAATGTAACTTTATATGTTTGCATAGCAGTTTAGCAGTTTGAAGTCCTGAATGGGCAGTATATATAAGAGAATACTTCTACATTGTTTTATTATAATGGAGTTTGGACAGTTGGAAACTGGCCACCTCTTGACCAGAAAAAAATAACTCAGGAATTGAGACATGATTATGTGACATTGAGGAAAAAAACCACAGCAATCTTAATGCTGTATTGAAAGAATTATAACTTTATCTATTACAACTTTGACATTTGTTCAGAGTACCCATTCTTCACTCTCAAATGTATATGTGTTTACTTTCAGGTATGGACGTGTAGAAATTCTCTCTGGATTTATTAATGGCCTCTTTCTGATGGTGATTGCTTTCTTTGTCTTCATGGAATCAGTGGCAAGACTAGTAGATCCTCCAGATATAGATACAAATATGCTAACTGTAAGTTTTGTCCTTCTGTTTCAGTGTAGTTTTGCAGTTAATGGTTCATTTATTTTTTATCTCCAGGGTGATAGTCCTTCCAGTACCTGAAGGGAGCCTTCAGGAGAGCTGGAGAGGAATTTTTTGCCAGGGCATTTAGTGGACAAGGGGAAATGGCCTCAAACTGAAGCAGGGCAGGTATAGATTAGATATTAGGAATTAATTCAACAATAGGAGGGAATTCTTTACTGTGAAGGTGGTAACGCACCGGAACAGGTTGCCCAGAGAAGTTGTGGCTTCCACAGTTTTCCTTAATTAAATGCATGGTGGTTTTGGCTACCATGTTCTAGAAAATTAGTTTGAATACCTGTGAGGATGCAGTGGGGCTAAAGACTTTTCTCCCTCTCACAGCCGGTGTCTGTTGGAGGGCTGATTGTAAACCTTGTTGGTATCTGCGCCTTCAGCCACGCGCACTCGCACGGCGCTTCTCGGGGAGGCTGTCCCACACATGATCACAGCCATTCTCACCATGGCCACAGCCACAGCCACGGGCACGGCCATTCCCACAGTGACCATGGCCACAGCCATGGACATGCCCATGGGTCTTCTGGAGGAGGCATGAACACCAACATGAGAGGCAAGTACAGATTGTTGAATCCTAAGGGCATGTACGTGATTTCTAGGAGACTGAAGATTTTCAGGATCAGACCTATGCAGTATTATCCCTCAATCTAAAAACGCGTTTGAGGAGTGATCTGGCAGTCATTAAATGCATATATAGGATTTGCTCAAACCATTTATGAATTTAACTTGAAGAAATGTGAGATATTTCTGTGCATATGTATGTAATACATAAGGAACAATAAAAAGCAGTAATCCATAGTACTCACTAACATCAAAAAAGCAGTAATCCGTAGTACTCACTAACATTTACATACTCTTTGAGTATGTAAACCATACTCAAAGAGTTTTAAGTCCTTGTTTCTAAGTTCAAACTGGAAATGAAGGTACAATGTCTCTATCTATAAAGATACTACCATGCTTCTAGGAATCATGTGACAGCTGTTCGTAAAAATACTGGGAAGGGGATAAGAAGCAGGAGGACAAATACAGACCAGCATAGCATATGTTTTTATTTGTGATTCAGAAAATAAAGTGGTAAAGAAAAACTTTGAAATATGAAATCATGAAGCTAACTGAGACGGGCACTGTATATGAAAGTTCAGCATAGAATTTTTTCCCTAGTGGTTAGAAAATAGTTATTTACCAGCTAAATAGCTTATTAAAAAAAAAAAACTTACCAGCTGTCTAGCTTATTAAAAAAAAACTTTAAAAATGCTGTTTTCTGTGTAAGCTTGTCAGAATATGGTGAGCAGTCTCGTGTTTCATATGTTATTTTATGTCTTAACTCAATTATCCTGGTTATTCATATTCATTATGTCTGTAATTTTTTTAAGTCTGCATATAGTCATGTTTCAATATTCTTTAAAATCCTGACAACTAACTAGTACTAATCTTACCAATGGTTGAAGAGTATTTTTCTATGCCCATTGAGTGTACATTGAGAATGAGCTCACAGTTAAAGCAGTAGAAAGTATAAGATTCATAGCAGTAGCACAAAAACAATTCTCTTGTAAAATTGGAGTAGCATTGGCATACAAAAAACAGCCAGTATATTCATGTATAGCATATAATACATTAGCAAGCAATGTACACTGATCTTCTAACTCTCTGTTAGGGATCAATGAGTCCTTATATACAGAGGTAAATGATTATGCTATATTGTACAAATCCCACATATTCACATATACTTTAGTCTGTGGATGCCTGCCTACATCATTGGCCCATAGATTAAAAATAATTTTTTACAATAATTTGCAATTAAACATTAGAAGACCTAAATATTTTGTGTATTTTGTCCCAGGTTAGGCAAAGAGTCATCTCTGTTTAACTTGAGGATACTCAGTAAGCCTTACTAAGTTTCTGCTATTGAATATATACATACATTTTAGACAGATCTGTTAATCACTCTGTTTGTTTTGGTTTTAGGTGTGTTTCTGCATGTGTTAGCAGACACTCTTGGCAGTGTTGGTGTTATCGTATCCACAATATTTATTCAGCAATTTGGATGGCTCATAGCTGATCCGCTCTGCTCTCTCTTTATTGCTACATTGATTTTTCTTAGTGTTATCCCACTATTGAAAGATGCCTGTCAAGTGCTTTTGTTGAGGATACCTCCAGAACAGGAGAAAGATCTGCATGCTGCTTTAGAAAAGGTACAATTATGAATGGTTTTGTATACAAACATACAAAGCTGTAACTGTTTTTAATGATTATTAAAATAAGCAGATCAGTCAGCTTCTCTATTGTCTTAGACAACTTCATGTCTCAAGTTGTTTAAAATCTATTTTTCAGAGAAGTGACAGGATGACTAGTTCTAACTATAAAAGTTGGTTTGCAGCTAAAAAGACTTCCACTGTTTTTTGGTTTTATGGATAGCCCATAATTTCAGACAAGCGTGGTAACAGTTTGGTAAATGTACCACACTGTAGTACTGAGAAACTAATATACAGTTCCTAAACCTGCATCCTTTTAAAACTTGTTACAAACATTCAGGGTACAGGATTATATCACAAGCTTGTAATTTCAAGTTTTCTGACTTATCCATATCATGAAGGATATACTGGTTCACAGTAGGTGGGATTGCAAAACTTAAGCTGTTTTTTCTAATTATTTTCTCATTCTAGACTGTTCTCTTCCTGTCTGGTGTAGTATGGCATCTGCTTTGAGGCTGTACCTAGTCTTTGCTGTTGCCTCATTTTAAGTTCCTGCCCAGAATAGTAATGTGAACCTCAGTGTGGAGAATTCCTCTCTTTAAAAGAATGAGTCAAAAGTTCTTCGAAGATACCATCAACTAGAGGCTTCAAGGAGGACTATCCTTATGGTGTCCCGTCAGTTACTAGATAGGAAAATGTGTTCTTGTCTGCATGAGAAAAAGAAAAAAGAAAAGAACAAATGGGAATTGTCTGGGAGAGATTCATGTAGTGAAAGGACAGTGACATGCAAAGTGTGGTTTCACTTTTGATGAGGGAGGACAGTAATTCTGAGAGACTGGGGAAAAATAAAGTACTTCTTGATCAATCAAAGACCAGTTGATTAAAAGATAATAGGAAAAGCATTTTAAAAATTACATCACAGTAAAACAGTGTGTTTGCTGTAGGTTGACCCTGTCCAGCAGCCAGGCATCCATACAGCCACTTGCTCACTCCCGTCCTTTACCAATACCACCACCAGTGGGATGGGAGCATAAGCAAAAAACCCTGGGAGCAATATAACAGGTGAAGGAAGAGCAGTGGAAAAAAGAAAAAAAAAGCAGTCCCCAAACAACAGCCACCTTGGAAGCCATAATCCTTCCTTCATCTCTAACCCAGTTTTTACTGCTGAGCAAGGTGTTACATGGTGTGCAGTAACCCACCGTGGACAGCTTGGGTCAGCTGCCCTGGCTGTGTCACCTCCCTGCTTCTTGCCCATCCCCAGCCTATCCGCCAGGGCAAGGGCAAAGTGGGAAAAATAGAAAGCCTTGAAACTGCCTGATGGAAAAGAAATACCCTGAACAGTTCAGCAATAGCCAAATCACTGGTGTGTTACCAAAATGGTTTTAAGCAGGAATCCAAAATACAGCACCCTATCAGCTGCTCTGAAAAACCATCACAGGCAACCCAGAACAAAGATCAATTTGAAAAAATTAATGTATTATGGAAAAGAAGTTATGTCTCTGAATAAAGTTCATCTGTGATAACTAAATATAGCTGCTAAACAGTGAGGTAACCAGTGCCCTAGTAGATGCTGACCAGTATTCTGATTAGTCTATCCATTTGTGTTCCTGTGATCTGTTCATAAATCAAGGGATTTTTTTCCTCATCCTATTTAGCATTGCTCTTCTGGAGTTTTGATTTGACTTTTACCTTCTAGAATTTTACAGTAGTAGCAAAGTAACCTTTCAATACAAGATATTTCTGAATATAGCTTAGTTGGAAAGCTGCTGTGCTACAGTTTTGTTTCCTTGTGAAATATTATCCACCAATAGCCATGTGCAAGTTTAAAATTACTTAATTTTTGCTAATGAAATTTCTTTGCAGATTCAAAAAATAGAGGGAGTTATATCCTACAGAGATCCTCATTTTTGGTGTCACTCTGCAACTGTTGTGGCAGGCACAATACATGTGCAAGTGGTATCAGATGTGATGGAACAGAGAATTGTACAGCAGGTACAGTGCAAGGTTTTTAGACTCTTAATTCCTTAACTTCCTACTCGGCATCTCCCTTTTGGTCACAGACTGAAGTTTCAATCTGACATGCAGATTTTCTTGTAGCTCTCCATTATTGTCTCAGAGCTGGTCTCTAATGCTGTACTGCCCCTTTCCTGCTAGCTTGAAATTAGTTGTGTAAAGAGTTATTTGCTAGAACATCTGCCAAAACACTGACTGACAGTGGCACTGCATCTGCTCTGAGAAAAGAAGGGGAAGTGTTAAAACAGGCCTGCCAAACAGGGAATAAACAGTAGAGATACCTGGATGCTAATCACATGTCTAAAACTGGATACCACTACGTATCTGCCTGGGTTTTTCTTTTCCTTAAAAAGATATATATTTCCTATGCACAACACTGAGAGTCTCCCAGTGTGCAGAACTTGCAAAGCCATACCTTCTAAAGCTAGTCTTTGCTTTCCAGAGAATTGAATTCTTCACAATGATATATGGGGGTTTATTTTCTGCATTGCAGAGCTAGTATACTGCGAGTTATTGTGAGATACACGTGAAGTGCGATACTAATGTTAACTGTACCATTCTGTTCAGGTCACAGCAATTCTGAAAGATGCTGGTGTAAACAACTTAACTGTCCAAGTGGAGAAAGAAGCTTATTTTCAACACATGTCTGGACTCAGTACAGGATTTCAGGATGTCCTTGCAATGACTCAGCAGCTAGAATCCATGAAATACTACAAAGATGGTACTTACATCATGTGATAGAAATTTGTATTTGCCAAAGGAGATGTAAATGGTCAAGCTAATTGAGTCCATATTTGTATTTTTGCAGGGAGATCTTGCACATACATGTACAGAAACAAATGTACTATATATTTGAATTTTTATAAGTGTACTATCTTTGTTAATTGGATTGAGATGCTTTTATAAAGGAAATAAGAAGGACTTGAGTACTTGCTGTAAATGTGAAAATAGTTGAAATCTTATATACTATACTTGGTGTTTATTAAACAGAAGTCTTGAAACTTGCAGATGAGCACAGATATATTCCATACTTTCTCCAAAGTGTGGAACATCGGTATTTTAATTTCTTGTTAGCAGTGGGAAATAGAAGTAGTTTATATTGGAATGCAAACAATCAACAGGGCACTACTTTTCTTTCTTTCAAAGATAGCTTGAAGACTCTTGGAATGAAAAAAACACTTTATTATGGGGATTAAAAACATCAAGTTCTGTGTTTTGCATATTTTGTTAGATAATAGAAATATACAGTTTTTATATTATGTCTCAGCATACAAATATGATTTCTATACTTAATGCACCAGAGCAAATATATGTTACCATTTTACATTTGTATGGAACTATTTTTTTTGGAAGAAATCCACAGATTTAACAACGAGAAATAGGGAAGAAAAATGAAAACACCTTCTCCTGAGAAGACTCAGAATCACAACTCAAACCACTTAAAATAAAACTTTTTGTACTTTTTATATGAATAACTGCAAATGCAATATTTGAAGTCTAGAAGTAATAAATCAGTGAGCATCCTAGCACTCTGCTAAACTTCATCTTTTCAAGATATGTTATCCTGTACTTTACTCAATTTTTTTAATAATACCATTACAGCTGCAGGTGTACTGTAGCCAACTGTACCTCCATGTATTACCTAGGGAAGAAGTTCAGGTTTAGAATGCTAAACTATGAAAGTAGTCTTGGACTTGACAAGTTGCTGAAATGAACAGTAAATTGAGATTTCTTGACTGGAAAGTGAAAGAGAGTGCCTTTAAGAAAGAATTATGGATGTTGAGGACTTAAATACTGCAAAGAAAACAAATCCATGTGTTTAATGAAAACCTGTCAATGGGATAATAAAATAGATCTTCAAAGGTAGTTGTGCTTACATCTGTTCACAGGCTTCTTGTGCCCCCCTCTTCTTGTCTGTAGCACATTAATATTTTCCTTGAAATTTAAGAAATTAATTCCGTGGTTAACAAGAACAAATACATCTTTCACCATCCCATGTATCGTGGCAGTATTGTTTTGTTGTACTGTTTTCTTGTTTCTACTATTCAGTGGTTCTTGAATACTATAATAATAAGAATAAACTTGATGTTAGTGAAATTGAAGGACAGAACAGAGTGATAAAGGAATGATATAACTGGGAGAGATTTACCAGGACTGCAGTTGGGGATATCCTTGAGCCATTCTGCTTGTCTTGTTATCAGATTGTTATACAACTTCTGTGGTTTTTTTTGTTACTCTTGAAGGAGTTCCTCCCAACCTAAAACAGTCTGCAGTACAAGACTGACTTGGAAAACTGTGGTCAGAAAACTTCTAGAAGTTGCATCGCATTTGTGTAGAGTGATGAAGATAAAGTGCATAAATTGCAGTCCCTCATATCTTGGGACAGCACTGGAGAGTCAGCCACCTCCTCAAAGCTGGATCCTGTTTTCTGCCCATTTAACACTGTTTTTCTTACCTTGTCTCCTCCAGAAGGCTTATCACTTGATGAGCTACAGTTATGCTCAGTCTAGAACTAGGGTGATGTTTTGCTTTAATCTCAAAGTTTCACTTAATGTTTACATATGCCACTCCTGTTTTGAGATGGTTGTACGAGATTTGATAATATTTTAGTAAACCCTATTGTGACATGAAATGAAGATGATGAAAAGGAGTGTGAATATGTCTTTTAAATAATTATCTTAGCATAATTGTAAAGCTTTTGTGCTTGTCACAGCTTCCTCTGAGCAAATGGCCATTTCCTACTTCAGTAGCGGCAGAACCCAAAACAAATCAAGGTGGCTGCCCCTGTGATCGTGGCAGTGAAGATGAGCCCGTACCTGTATACTTCACAGGCAAGTGCAGACCTGCATGTTGGCTTGCATTTGGCAGGGTTTAGTAAGTTACCCAGCATGCAAGCACAGTGTTCTTCCTGGCTCTCCTGGCAGGAAGATGATGGCAACAAGCATTGTCTATCTTACACTGTCCATCTTAAATTTGTTTAGTCTGGCAATAATCCACAAAGGAAGAGTTCAGGATTCCCCATAAGATCTATTGGAATTGCGCTGTGTGGGCAGGTTTTGAAACCACAGGTGGAGGCCAGTTGGTTCATATCTTAGTACTGGGAAGGCATGGGGAGGTTCAATCGAGTCAGCTGATCTGTATGCAGAGAGTTGCAACAAAACACTTTGAAAGATTAAACAGGTTTAAAAGGAACTCCGAGCGAGCAGTACGTGTGTGTATAAAGAGGAAAATGTTCGTGTTTTCCAGTAAGGCTTTATTCCCTGGTGCAGAAGCCAGGCGGCCGTCAGCAGGGCGCGAGTTGCGGAGGCGCGGCAGACAATGGGCGGGTGATGGGCGGCAGACAATGGGCGGGCGCCTGGGCGCTTGAAGTGAGCGGTGCCGGCAGCGCGGCCCGTGCCGCTGCGCTCTCCTGCCCGGCGGGCTCACCTCAGTACGTGCGTGGAGGGGCCGGCTCGGCTCGGCGCGGGCGGGGGAGCGGAGCGAGAGTGGGCTGTTGCCGTGGCTCTTGGGGAGGCACCTGCGCCGCCGTTCGTGTCCTGCTCGTTCCTTCCCTTCCCCTCCCTTCAGCCTGGCAGGCAGTGCGGGGGTACAGCCCGGGGGCAGCCTGATCTGTGCTTGGCCGGGAGGGCGGTGGGTGTTTCTCTTTCTTTCTCTGGGACAGCCCGTTCGTTCCCTCACTCTGCTCTCCTTCAGCCCTCTAGTGCGAAGGGAAGCAGCCGCGAAGCCCCGCAGCTTTGCATCTACGGTCCTTCGGCTCCGAAGCCGTGCAGAGCTCTTGCCCCGGCTCCGTTCCTCCAGCCCGCCGGCGCTGCCCGCAGCGCTGCCCCGACTGCCCCGTTCCCGCGGCCCGGGGTTGCGGCGGTGCAGCGCACACCCCTTCCCGCGCCGTCCCGCTGACCGCCCTTCTCTCTGCAGTCCCGCTCCGCAGCCGATCCCTCGAAAGAGAAGAGCGCGCCGCCGGTGCCCAAGAATGGAACGGCGACCGCCCCTACGATGGGGGGGGCAATCAGCACTGCATGGCTAAGCCGAAAGTGCGCCCAGCCGCCAAGTTGAAGGGAACCACGGGCAGCCGAGTGTCAAGTAGGTCGCCGCCCCGGGGCGGATGGTTACCAGGAGGCTTTCGCCACGGAAAACGTGCCATGCCAACCCCGGAGTCCCAGCCTAAGTCCCAGTCCCACCGCCAATACCAGTCCCGGCCTCTCTGTAATGTGTGCCCCTTCCCCAGCCCAGTGCTTGGCTACCGCTGCCGCAGAGCCGTGCCTTCCCTCTGGTGCCTTGAAAGAGGGGTCACGAACACGTGCAGTGCTCCATGCTGCAGGATTGCACTGGGCTGTTGAGGGAAGTGCTGTCAGCAGTGATTTTCTGAATGTCCTTATAGTCAGAGCATCAGTCTCCAAACCCCATGGAAATACATGAATGTCATCCAGCAGAAGACACATACCATGTCAGGCTTTTTCTAATGTCTTGCTTGAGTCTGAAGACCCAGACATGGATGATAGTAATGACCCAAACCTGTGTAGCAACTATGTGAAGGACATCTACAACTATCTGAGACACCTGGAGATTGGTAGGCACCTAAAGACATTTGCAGTAAACTGTCCTTGTAGGTGTGGCTTGCCTTAGAGTTGGGATTCACTTTCACTGATGATTTCTCCAGAGGCATTAGTAAGCCTCCTTCAACTTTGAAATACAGGATTGAACTCAGCTGACAATATGAAGAGATGCTGGTTGTTAGACCAATCAACTACTAATACTAGTACTGTGCTCTTTCTAGTCCATGTCTTGTGAGCAAGGAAACCTTGCAGCCTGTGGTCTACACCCATGGGTTATGTCTGTACCAAACTTCTGAATAATGGAGAAGAGGAAATGGCCACAAGTTGTGCCAGGGGAGGTTCAGGTTGGACATGAAGAATTTCTTTACTGAAAGGGTGGTCAGATACTAGAATGGGCTGCTCAGGGAAGTGGGAAAGTCACTCTCCAGAAGTGTTCAAGTGACTGGATGTGTCAGTTGACAAAGGGCTTTCACCCTAGGCTAAAGCATGAATGCTGGTCAGTGACACCTACATGGTTGGGTGTCAATACCCTTAACAATACAGATGACCAACAAAGGACATTCAATTCTCAATTGTATGTACCACAAAAAGCTCTTGGCTATGAACAGTGAGTTGATGTATCAAAACTGCTTATTCCTCTCCCTGATTTGAACTCAAAGCCTTTTAACACCCGTGCAGGTGCCAATAGAGGTAACAGAAGATGTGTAGTTATTCTGTGCAAGTGAGTGTGGTAAATAGGTATGATTCCCGCTGACAAAATTGAAACAGTAATCAATATAGATACAGTAATTAATATTTGGAAATAATAAAACCGTTAAAAGGTGTAATGCCAAGAAAGAAAGGGAGAGGAGGGGTTCCATCCCCCTTTTCCTGCAGATGTTCAAGGCAGAAAAAAGCAAGAGATAACAGTTACTAAAAATTAACAGAAAGAAAGGAAAATCTGGTTGGGTCCCAGGAAAATGCTAATTATATGAAATTTATGGCTTTGATGCTTAAATATAATATTATGTTAGTTTTGGCTTACATTATACTAGCTTGGTGCGCATGCATAACCCAAAGGTGAATTAAAGGACATCGAGGAAGAGGAGAGACCTTCATCAGTGACGACCCCCAAAGAGTGGTGCAACCACATAAAAGAGTGGTGGAGCATGCGCAGTAAAGGTGGTGATGAGGGCAGAGGTGGAAGTGTGATGAATCAAAAACGGGAGGAGATGGCATTGACATATGGCATAAAAGGGGGAATTTTCACTTGACAAGCTTGTACATGAGGTGGCAGGGGTCCAAGGACCCTGCACTCCGTACCCCACGCGGTTATTTTTTGCTTATGCGCTATTATTGGAACCAAATTATCCCTTATTTTAACCAAATTACATTGTCAATATTTTAAGTGTATGCGATTTTATATATTCTTAGCTATTCAATTAAAATTACTGCTACCTTTAATATTGTTTGGTTTTTTTGATGATGGGATAATTGGGCAAATATAACATGAGTATGAATATCCTGCCATATAACAAACCTTACACTGACTAACTTGAAAACCTGTGTTCTGAACAAAGTAATTTATATAAATCTTTACTGCTTCTTTCTACAGAACAATGCTGTTTCCAAGATGAAGTTGCTGCTGGTTGGTGTCATAGCTATGTACATTGCCACCAAATATGAAGAGATTCTTCACCCATATGTTGGAGACTTTAGCTATGCAGCTGACCACACACTTGCTCAAAGGTCCATGTCCACCACATGGAGATGAAGATCCTGAAAGCCCTGGACTTCTCTCTGGGTTGCCCTCTCAGCACTGCCCAAGAAGAGCTTCAAAGATTGCAGAAGTGTTGAGAAGAGGTGTTACTGTAAATTGAATCTGGAAAAGGCAATACTTAACTGTGGCAACTTGTTAAAATGGCTCAACATTTTTGAGTACTGCAATTGAGCCTGGCTGAGACCTGTCTTCCATATAGAAATGAGTTTTATTTATCTGTTCCTGTGACATGAGCCTAACTTACCAAAATTCTGTGCTAAAATGCATACCTGATTGTGAGGAGCCAATTTAGTTTTGATTTCCCTCAACAATGGCTGTCAGAGGCATGTGGAGGAGGGGTGCACATAGGCAACGGGTAGGAGGCAACTAGAAGAAGCCTTGTCTCTGAAGGACTTCACCTGGCAACACCTCCCATGGGATAGATGGGAACTCCCCAGAGGGACTTCTCCAACCAGATGGTGAAAGGTTGGACTGGGCCAATGGTCTCCTGCCAAGCAGACAGGCTTTGGGAGAAGCCAGGGGCATAAAAAGTAACTGTCACAATTGCTCCGGGGTTTTTGAAACTTGCTCTTTAAGTATGGGTTTTGGGCTTGGGGCTTTTTTGAGACTCTGGTTTTGTATTTGAGGCTTGGTAATTAGAGGGGCTTTTTGAATCTTGTATTTGTCCTTTGGCTCCAGCCTGCGGAGGTCTGTTTCTTGCCCTGGCCCTAGCCTGTTTTTGCCCTTTTTTTTTTTTTTTTTTTTTTTTTACTGAGTGAACTAGGTTGGAAAAGACCTTAGAGATCAACTA